TCTGCAGCCAGCGGTTTTAGAGAAAACTCAAAACAAGTGTGTACAGACGGCGCCGGTACTGTACAGTGGAGATGACGTACTGTCAGCGCCGTCAACCTCCACTTGTATGTGCGATTTGCATATTCTTAATCTTTGCAGTTTTATTGACAAGATTTATCGAAGCTTCTTTTTTCTACAAGTGTATATATTACCATCCTACAGAAGCCAGACCGAACTAGGTTTCTGCCCTGATCCCAGACAGCGTTTAATAAATATTCGGGCAGGAATGATTTTAGAGGCCGCAAAAATCCCGTCGACTTAGGATAAAAAGTTGCGGTAAAGAAGAAAGAGGGTCGAACACCGGAACGGTTTGTCCGTTATGCTGGGCCCAACACTGAATTGTTTCGTTAATTTCCACCAATAGGAGGACGAATTTACATTTCCGTTAAATAAGCCTATATAAGGTCAAATTTCCCTTAATTGGCATTCACAACGTGCGCAACAGAAGTTAATGTTGGTCGAATTTTATTCTATTTTAGCATGTTAAAACTAACATAATATTGTTAGCCTAATTGTTTTGATCACTTCCACCACAACTACGTATGAATTTCAGCTCACTAGCCAAGAATTAAATTTTCGACCGCAAAAAACTTTAAGCAACTGGGCGGTGGGGGTAGATATCTAGAGGGGCCTTACAAATCAGTTTTGCCAATATTTTCTTACTCATATAGGCTTAATTCTCTTTCTATCTTTTTACGCAAGACTCTTGTTCCGTCATCCCCAGTGACTAATTTAAGCATCCTCTTCGCTAGGACATATGTCACATCAGTCTCGGAATCCTTTAAAATACTAATTTCTTTTCTTTACCTACGAGACGAGAATTTCGGCGCTGGAGACGTCTCCGTAGACCGCTACGCCGAATGTTTTGCCTGAGCACATAGAAACCCTACCAGAACATTATTTTCGCTTATTGTACGCCTCCATTGGTGTTTTACAGTATTTACGTATGTTGTAAGTAAGTAAGAAACAAAATAAAATTTAGACTATAAAATCGTCTTCTACCTCTCCTTCTACAATTTATGACACTCATGGAAGTGGACATCCTACCACCACGAGTCCAGTAAATCTTAAAGGAATGTAGGACTGCGCTCTCGATCGTAATCACATCCTCTAGTCTGTGTTGCTAGACTCAACGAACCTGAATGCCAGACGCTTGTTTAGCGCCTCGCTCTTGGGTGCGCCACAACAACGTCACCTTGAGGTTTCAGA